TTTTTTTTTTTAAATCAATATATATATATATATAAAGAAAATACTTTAAAATATGTGTAAAATGCTAATTAAATATTATTGTCTATTGTCTATATTATTTTAATTTATACTAATAATATTATTTATTTATTAAAAAATGTACTAGCAATTTATTTATTTTACATGACTAGATAAGTTTGTGGAAATATTTATAATAAATTACTCTTTCGGTATCTTAATTGTAAATCGATTTAGTGATTATAAAACCTACCATTTAATTGGATTGATACATTTTTTAATGTTGAATTTTTACTCTTTTTTTTTTGTGTAATCACATATATTTAATCTTATTTATTTTTTTCTTAAAAAATAATAATTGATAAGCATTCATCAACGAAAATGTTATGCAATGTAATGCAAAAATTCAATTTAAATCAAATTTTCAACCAAAAAACTTATTTTTCCACAACTTATAGTTGTTGAAGTTAAATTATAAATACCTAAAATAACATTTAAAAAAAAAAATTGTTTGAGGGTGATACATATTCTAAGTTTTTAAAAACTTGATGGTACATATATCGATATTTATATTTATAATAAATACATTTTTATATGAAATGAACATTTCGACTTACACTACAATTTAACATTTAAAATCGGGCCCCCCTGAGTAAAATTCCTAGATCCGTCACTGCCCTCAATTTTGCTATCCTTTATTAAAATTGTGACAGGTAAATAAATAGTTGGAAATGTTTTTATTCTTTATAAGTACTTATTATGTTGTTTTCGGTTTGATCAATTTTCTTTAAAGAACTATTATATATTAGAATTATAAATTTGATTACGATTTTACCATTAAAGTCATTTTAAAAATAAGGATACAACATAAGCCATTAACTGATAAGTATGTGTGTGAATTAAGAATGAAGAAGATGATGCACTTGTACAAAGAAGAGTGAGGGTGAAATACCCTTAGCTGAGTTGGTCACAGTTCATACTATGAGTTGACTCGTTTATCCTAACTAATTAATATGACTTATTAACTAATTAACCTAACTAATCTAAATGTGCTAATTAATTTGTTTGTTGGTTTATTAGTTAAATTATCATGATATATTTTAGTTAATTATTAAATGAAAAAGTTTAAATGTTTTAAGTGTTAATAATTAAAATATTACCCAACTTGATATTAAACACTTAGGGGTCGTTTACTTTGAGGGATTGGGATAGGACAAGCCAAATAGTCCCAGTTATCCCTCATTTACTTCAGCGGAATGGGATGGGTTTTTGATGACATGGCGATGAGATGGCATCCTTCCATCCGCCATTTTGTGATTAAAAAATCCCCCCCCCCATCTGATTAATTTGTCCCGTTTTTATCATGCCTTTTCTACACTCTAAAGCTAATGGCAAAATACTAAAATACCCTTGAATTTGCCTCTATTTACATTTCTATACCAGTTAAAAGGAAAAAGGCCGGCCATTGTTGCCCTAGTTTGCGCAGCAGCAACCGCGACGCCATTGTTGAGAAGGTAACGTCTTTGGCTTCTCCGTAAGCCGTACATGTGAGCTTCACAGACGACATCTTTACCTATTCCATTTCCATTTACGTTAATTGGTGTCCGTTCGTCGGACGAATCGTGGTCCAATTATTCAAATCGAGGTTTTTGCCCTATTGGATGCAGAGACGACCACCCCATTCGTGAAGCTGTAAAATTTGGATCCTCCGTCGGAACTAAAGGTGAGCTCGAACAAATCTTTATCATTTCACTTTTGCCCTAATTGCTGTCTCAATATTGATGGACCTCTGACTCGAGTTTTGTTTATATATATATATATATATATATATATATNTATATTTTTTTTGGTTCAAAATCTTCATTTCTCTGAAGGCAT